AGGAGGCCAGGGCTGGGGTGGAGCTTGGCAGAGGGCTGCCGGGTGTCCCTTGCGTGATTTGGGCAAGTTGTGTCACCTTTTTCTTCTTTGAGCCTCAGTTTGTTCATATGCAAAAGGGGGTAATAATTGTACCTTCATTTTAGGGTTATTTTGAAGGTTAAATGAATTGGTAGATCGTGTTTGGTACCTGTTAGACAACCAAGAGCTCTGTTCATAAGACCAATTATTGTTGTTATCCCCTGCTACCCTCCTTTAGTCCTGAAGAGCACGGTAGGACAGGAGACAGGACCAGGGTCCTCGGTCTCCTCCTCCTGCACAGAGAGCATCTCTTTCCCATCCTGTCTCATCCCCCCTTAGTCTCCAAGGTGGCAAGGACAGTTGAACTCAGCCGGGGGTCCTCCTGAAGCTCCCTGAACCCCTCCCATATGCGCTCGGTGGTGAGTCAGCCCTTACCCCTCTGCCTCAGTTTCGCATCTAGGAAGGGGGCCAGCGCCTCCCCGCTCCCCCACCCTGTGTCCCTTGGGACTCTTTCTGGGTCCTGTCGGCAAAAGTCCCCCAGCACAAGCAGGCGCTTGGGCGCAGCCATGGGATAGTGGGTGTGTCAGCTACGCCCAGCCCCGCGCTGCTGTACCCACGCCAGGACTGGCACCTCGAATCCACGTGATTTCCCAGCAGAGCAGCAACCTCCAAGCTTTGGCTAAGCATCTCCGGCGCCTACTTTCAGTTTCGAGCAGAGTGCAGCGGAGCAAGAGGGGTGCTGGGGGTGAGTACCGAGGTGCGCGCGGGGCTGCGGGGTTGCGGGGCCCGGGAAGAGGGAGAGCTGGAAGATTCGGGTGCGAATGCCGAACGGAGTGGGGAGGCAGAGGTGCCAGTGGGCTCTGGAGCAGGAGGTCCCAACAGCCGGGGGAACGGGGTGGATGGACGGATGATGGGGTGGGCAGATGGAGCGCCAGTGGCCGGGGCAGCGCGCAACCCGCTTACCCTGCGGAGTTTGGAATTTGAGTTGTGAGCCGCAGGGGAAGGCAGGCAGGGTCACCCGTGTTGCGGGATGCGACCCGCGGCTGCGCTCTTCCTCCCTCCCACTCCTCACCCTCGAGAGCGCCTGTCACCTCCGGGAACTTCAACTTTTAGATGCTTTTTAAAGAATTACAGAAGTCACGCTGCTCATTATGCATAATGCAGACTTTTTAGTCTAAAAAAAAANGTGCCACTCGGCCGGCCCCATGAATATCATTTTTTAAAAAAGCAATAGCAACATCTTTTGGAAGGTTACCATGCAGCAGGTCCTGTTCTAAGCTCTTTACAGGGATTATCTCATTTAATCCTCAGCAACGCTATGAGGTAGGTACTGTTATTATACCCATTGTGCAGATGAAGCAGGCGAGGTGCAAAAAGCTAAGTAAAGCTGAGGGGTGGACAGGGCAAAGGATTGCTTCACTGTCGCACGGAAGAGAAAACCAAGGGCCAGAGAGAGCGAAAGGCATGCCCAGGTCGCTGGCAAATTAGTGGTGGGGTGGGGCCTAGAGCTCAGGCCTCAGAGCCCAGCCTGGGCCCCAGCCACTGCCCCAGGCTGCTGCTTCTTTTTCCTGCCGTGGGCGCCCCCAAGATGGCTTTATCCCTCCTATCTCCGGGGGCAGTGGCCACAGCTGGCAGGTCACTGTCCTAGCCAGGGGACCCCTGCATGTCTTCCATAGTTTTTCCACAGCTTCCCCACCAACCAGGCCCAAGTAACTGTCCACTGCCTCAAGATGCCCAAGACCTCCTGGCAGCACAAGGCTGGCGTGGTCGATTCTTCCCTGATGATGTAATTCCCCTTCCCACGCCCAGGCGGGCAGCTTTGTGTGGCTTACACTTTTGAAGAGGTAAGGTGAGCACAGAGGGAGGTGAGGAGTGTGGGACCCAGCCCACAGACGGGCCTCTGAAACCTCCAAATTCTTTTCACCACCTCTGCAGTGATTGGTTGTTTCTAGAACATGGCTGTCCTCCTGATGATCAAAATCATATGATACAGAGGCCGGCCGAGTGGCTCAGTTGGTTAAGAGCTCACTCTAAGAGTTTGAGCTCTGAGCAACAGCGGTTCGAGTCCAGCCCGAGCTGAGCAGCCACTGAGCTGCCAACAGGTGGCAGGATGGCTCAGCTAAAAATATATATATATATATATATGATCCAAGTTATCATACGAGGATACATAGGGCTTTCGACAGATTTAGTAATATTTTATTTCTTAAGCTGGGTAGTAGGACTTGGGTGTTTGTTGCACAGTTTCCACGACCCCCATCCATTTCCGTTAGGGGCCA